GTTACAAGATCACATTTCACTGTTCCTCGAAGTGAAATAAATGGTGTTTCATTGATGTGTTCATCAGACTAAGCAGTCCCCTGTGGAATGCTGAACTTAGTACTTGTTATCGAGACTTTTATGAGATCACAGGTTACACATTTACTACACAGCAAATACCTTGTTGCAGGATCAAAAATTATGGTATAGCACAGACAGCTCAAAGAGCACAGGGCTGTTGCTGTTGCTTCAGAGCTGCCCGGAGTTTTCTTGCAGTGCAGCTCTGCCACATTTCTGCAGGAATGGCCCTGCTGCTTCCTTCTCATCCACAAGTCTCAGTGTCACTGCTTCTGTTGCTGCCCGTACTCAGCTTGGCTTCTAGGCAGTTTCACCCTGAGGGAGGCTATTAGAAGAACAGAGCCACATGGATCTATTCCTGCTTCCTTCTAGAGTCACACACCACTATTCCACCAAAATGAACAGGTACAGTATAGCAGGTGGGAGCAGTGGCACCACCCACCCATGGACTTGGTTGAACTCCAGTGCTGGCTATCAAGCCTTTAATCAAACCAATGATTAAACATTTACCACACAGCAATTACATTATAGAAGGATCACAATCTACGGCATAGAGCAGACAGCTCAAAGAGCACAGGGCTGTTGCTGTTGCTTCAGAGCTGCCTGGAGTTTTCTTGCAGTGCAGCTCTGCCACATTTCTGCAGGAATGGCCCTGCTGCTTCCTTCTCATCCACAAGTCTCAGTGTCGCTGCTTCTGCTGCTGTCCGTGCTCAGCTTGGCTGCAGGTGGGAAGCTGCTGGTGGTGTTTGTGGATGGCAGTCCCTGGTTCAGTGCGCTGGAAATGTTTGAAGTCCTGAAGCAGAAAGGACATGAAATAGTCGTCGTTGCCTCTGACAGCACTTTAAACATAAAGCCATCGGAGAATTTTATCCTGAAAACCTATCGTGTTGACTTCCCACAAGATGGGATGGATAGCAGTTTTGACATATTTTTAAAGGATCTATTTGAAGAAGGATCATTTCTGGAAAGATTTTTAAAAGTACGAGAAAATATTAGAAAAGTCTCTGAGTCAACCATCATATCCTGTGAACAGTTACTGCACAATGCAGAACTTATCAGATATCTCGAGGAGAGTAACTTTGATGCTCTCTTAACGGACCCCGTACTGCCCTGTGGAGCAATACTGGCCGAGCACCTTTCCATCCCTTCTGTGTATTTCATGATGTTAATACCATGTGGATTAGATTTTGAGGCCACCCAGTGTCCCAGTCCCCCTTCATATGTTCCCAGGGCATTTTCAGACCATACAGATCACATGAACTTCCTCCAGCGTGTGAAGAATGTCATCTTTGACACCTCCAATCTCTTTCTTTGTGACTTCATTTTTAAACCATTTGAAAAACTGGCTTCTGAGTTCCTTCAGCGAGATGTGACTGTACGTGATCTCTTAGGCAAGGCTTCCGTATGGCTTCTGAGGTTTGACTTTGTGCTAGAATATCCAAGACCATTGATGCCCAACATGATTGCAATTGGAGGAGTAAACTGTGCTCACAAGCAGCTCTCTCAGGTGGGTT